TGATTTGAATTCACTATTATCACAAAGGAGAAGCTAGTGGAATTCGTAGAATTCTCCCATTCCAGAGAATGAGCGAGAATGGCCATGTGATCTGTATGAATTAAGTATATGAATGAAGTTAACGTTTGTCGCAACTGTAGTCTCAAACAAATGACCGGATAACACAGAGGATCACAACAAAATGGTACAATGTCTCTTTGAAATCAGATTAGCAGACTATAAATGCAAATCGGCAGCACTACATAAAGAACGACGTCAGTGTCTGAAAAACTGTGGTCATCAATAAGAATAGACTTAACTCAGACTAATTAATAGAGGAATTTTTATTTTGTGACTATATATACATAAGAGAACGTACATATTCTGAAGATGTTTAATGGTCACATATCACAGCAAGGAAGCTTAGCTTTTAAGTTGAGGTATTTTAGTACTCAGTGAATACACAGAAAGAGACCAATAAAATGAGACAGGAAAATCTCTGATCGTGAATACTGCTGGCGAAGGAAGCGAAAATGCCACGGACACAGGAAACACATTAAGATATTCGCTAATCAGTAGCGCATATGAACACATTGCTCTCTCTAAAAACCCCTGTTTCCACTTCTACCATCGAAGGACGTAAAATGCGGTGTGTAACATATTATCATAAAAACATAAACGTACATCCGTGAGCATATACACGATCAAATTTCTGTTTCATTTGTATTTAGAAGTAGTGAATGCACTTTTGGTCTTTGGTCTTCCATGACCATTATCGTAATACTGGAGGCGAAGAAAGAAAGGAAGGAAAATTAGTCACCGCTGGAATATTGATCTAGCTTCACTTTCATGAACGGGTCATTTGGCGCCTTTTATCATGTAGTTGACGGTCCGAGGCTGTTCTCCGTTGCTGCCATCAGGCAGGAGTGCTTTATTTTTCAAAACAGAATCTACAGCCATGTGGCAAGCATAACATGTAGTTTCCTGTTTCCCTCAGGTACTTATCTTATCAACCCCGCAAAGAAGAAAATCGAGTGACCGCGACCGAGGCTTGAACTCAGGACCTATCGATTCCTGAATTCGATGCTCTACCGAGTGAGTACCTTCAAGCGATCTACAACTACTATGGCAAAAAATCTTCCGAATACCGTTTTGGCAGCTTGACGTCAATCGTAAAAGTTATTACGAATGCGTATGACAAGTGACGGTGACGAAAACGAATACACGACTTTTTTACTGTAATCTTTTACTGAAAATATCGTTCCTACAGAATCATATTTGATCTGCTACAATACTATCGACTAGGTTGTCGACTAGTACCTTCCTCGTTCGACTAGCAGAAGGCAACAAACTGATTCTGATCAGCGACTTTTCTCAGTCTGACTCAATTCCTTAACAGTCACAGCGGCCTTTGGTAATCCGGCTGAAAATCCAGCCGGTATAACGGTTTGATAACGGCAGTACCATGAAGAAAAGATGGCCAAAGTTTACGGGAACGTCGCCGCAGTCCTCAACCCCCCTCCTCATTACCCATCCGAGCTAATGATCGGCAACAGTAGGGTTCAGTGGTTCTGTCGTTTAAAAATTGCCGACATACTACGTATATACATGAATTCACACA